TGGTTCCCAATCCTCTCTCTCATTAACATTTACTAATTTCCCTAGCTGTTCTACTCTGTCTCCATTGCCTATTTAACATCAGGCATTCATTCAACAAACTAGTACTCACTAAATATGTTTCAACCCAACCATCACAAATCCCACCTGGCATCCCAAGTAGCATCTCTGTGCTACCAGATCTGAAAAGCCCCTCTCATGACCTCAGCCAGGTAAAGCCCAGTTGTTCTAAGAATACCTCCAAAGTCAAAAAAGAAAAAAAGAGGGTGAATATTTATGGGTTGGGGAGATAGCTCAGCAACATAAGCACCTGCCTGACAAGCACAAGGTCCCAAGTTTAATCTCTGGTACCACAAAAAAAAAAAAGAATACTTCCAACATCACTGTATTCACTGGCTAACTCCAATACCCAGCACTAAGTAAAATATATTCTGTTTAAGAAATAACTTGGAAGTAATACACAAATGCAGCATAGGACAATAAATTGAGAACTCATCTGAAACACTGGATACAAAGCAGATCAATCAAACTCATAGTCTGATCTCCTCTCCTTCAAATCAGAAGAGCTGATCCAGTCACATGAGAAGAGTATTCAGAATGATCAAAGTGACAACTGTTATGGATTTAATTGCTGAGCTTCTACAAATATGGTACTTTAGACTCCTAAATCATCTGCTTCTTCCCTTTCCTATCTGATAATGCCTCTCTAGCTAAACTTAGCTTTAAAATAAAACATTTTAAGCCAAACATGGTGGTACACAATTGTAATCTCAGCACTCAAGAGGCTAGGACAGGAAGATCACTGAAAGTTAATAGGTCAGCCTGAACTACCTACAGCTACATACTAAGACTCAAAGAAGAAAAAAAAGAAGAAGAAAAGGACCAGGGATTTGGCTCAGTGGCGCAATGTGTGCCTGCCTGGTAAGCATGAGGTCCTGAGTTTGATTCCAGGCACACTGCCACACACACACACACACACACACACACACACAAAACTTTTAAAATTTAATTCTTGGGCCAGGGAGATAGCACAGTAGAATAAGCGCTTGCCTGGCAAGTGCAAGGTCCTGAGTTCAATCCCCAATATAGCAAAATAAATAAATAAATAAATAAATAAATAAATTCTCTTCATCTATTGGGCCCTTTTTAAAAATTGTCTTGAAATAAAACTATTCTCAAATTTGAGAATGTAATTTGCCTAGTATGTGCAAGCCCTAGGTTCAATTCCAAGCACTGAAAAAAGTATTTTTTACAAATGCTGATGACCCTGAGAATTTGTTCATACACTGGTTTGAGAAAACTTACTTAAAAATTACATGCATCACACATTTACCCTATACCTAACAATGGCAAATATAGAGAAGCAAGAACTTTTGAAATGGTATGACAAAAAAAAGGAGGGGGGGCTAGGGAGATGGCTCAGTGGAATAAGTGCTTCCCTGGCAAGCACAAGGGTCTGAGTTCAATCCCCGGTTCTGCAAAAAAAAAAAAAAAAAAAAGAAAAGAAAGAAAGAAAGAAAGAAAGAAAGAAAGAGATGGTATGACAAGACTTAAGACACAAGTTAGCCATCCCCTGATCAAAATACTGTTAACTCTTTAGATTTTATCAAAACAAAAACATAAAATCAAAAACCTCTTACAGGCTGCCAAGAACATACATAAGCACTGAAATTTTAAGAAACCTAACACAGAACAAGTTTAAATAAATCTAATGTGGTAACTTTCCAACTTCTGAACCTGTTTGAAATTTGGAACACATACTAGCTTCTAATTTTCTTACCACAAGAGTGATTACTTTGAAATTCAACAGACATGCTAAAAAATACAGATACTGTATTACTTAAGCTTTACTAATACTACTCTATTGCAATGAAGCTGCTCTCCTGTGAAAAGCATATATACTAGTTTTCATTTATTTTCAGTAGGGATAATCTGAATGTATAACATCATTATTATAAAAGACTCAATTTAAAAATATGGCATTCCTAAAGGGTTCAAGTAGTTACAGCAGTATTTAGGGGCTCTAGCAAAAACAAATGTAAGGTGGGCCGGGGTGATGGCTCAGTGGAGTAAGCGCTTCCCTGGCAAGTGCAAGGACCTGAGTTCAATCCCCGGTTCAAAAAAAAAAATGTAAGGACACTTCAATACTCCACACACCTCATCTGCCTCTCCCTCACCCCAACACAAGATATTCAATCATGTTATAGGGAAAAGTCACTCATGAAACTACTTCACAGACATATATCCCCAAATCACACTTCTTAAGCATTCCAGCAGGAAATATAAATATTTCAATGTCATTTTTTTCTTAGTTAATAAAACAATTATGAAGGGCCAGCCAGATAGCTCAGCAGATTAAAGGGCCTGCTTAGGCAGAGCACAGCAGCCAGGTTCCATCCCCGGCCCCACCCTCACCCCCACCCCCACCCCTGTGGTATGCTGAGATGGCCACTGAAAATGGTCCTGGTGGTGCACGCCTGTAATCCCAGGGCTTGGGAGGCTAAAGAAAAGAAAGGACCACTACAAGTCCAATCTGTGTAGTGAGACCCTGTAAACCCTGTACTAAATACATTAAAAAAAAAAAATGCAGCCAGGCGTGATGGCACATACCTGTAACCCCAGCACTCAGGAGGCTGAGGCAGGAGGATTGTAAATCTGAGCCCAGTCTGGGCAATTTAACAACCTAGTAAGACCCTGTCTCAAAAAATAAAAAAGCCAGAAATGCAGCTCAGTGGTAAATCCCTGGGTTCAACCCCAGTATCAGAAAACACACATATACACCCATACACACACATTTATGCTACTCAAGAATTTTAAGAACAGCATATCTGCATCAATCAGGGAAATGTCCCTCACTTTTTTGTTCACTCTCCAGTACCACAGCTGGAAGTCAAACCCAGGAGCACCCTACCACAGAGCTATATCATAGCTCTTAATTTTTGAGGTAGCATCTTGCTAAACTGCCAGGCAGACTCAAATGTGTGCTCCCCCTGCCTCAGACTCATTCACAGCTAGGATTACTGGAGTACATTTCACTAATAATGAAAGGGCCTTGTGAAAATGGACCACAGTCCTTCCCTAAAGGCCTGCAAATACTGCTGACAGGGCAGTCCACACTGGCCTTCAGTGCTGTTGAGGGAGCACTGAGAGTGTATCCACAGCACTGCAGTAAAGAAATGTATAGTGGGGCATTCCCTGTTGCACTAGAAAATTATCTTGGTACACACTATTTTTCATCTTATTATAGACAATTAAGTTTGAAATTAACCTGCAGTCAGAGAGGGACTGGGCCCTGGAGGAAGTCAGCACAGGAGACAAGACAAAGACCGAGACTGGTGGTGAATGTGAAAAAGGAAAGCCTTGGGACAGGTCTGCAAGGAAACAGCAACCTGCGATGACACTGTAATTAGCACTGCCTGGCCCAGTGGGCCCAGAGGCATCAGATGCACAGTGGTTCAGCTGGACCCAACCCTTCACAAGAATTCCTTTGTTCTTTACATGTACCTTGAATTCCAGGCTCATTTCCCTATTAGATCACTACTAGCTAAGTGACAATGCTTGTAATCCTATAAATTGCATCTTAACCTTATTGTACCAATGGTGTGATTTCACTTTGTAAATACTATTGAAAAGGGCCGGGGAGATGGCTCAGTAGAATAAGCGCTTCCCTGGCAAGCGCAAGGGCCTGAGTTCAAACCCCGGTTCCGCTAAAAATAAAATAAAATACTACTGAAAAGAGCCTAAGTGGCCCCCACTGTGGGCGTGGCCTGGATCCAGAAGCTATTTTTATTTCCAACGATACTCTCCTAATTTCCTCCTGTGATTCAGTCTTCATGCCCGGATGCTGAGACCTCAAACGCAGCTCATCTCACATCTAACAGGTTGGTGTTATTTTCCCCATAACAATCCAAAAACTCAATCCAAAGATTCTGGGAAAAAGGTTTATGTCTCGGACTTTAAAACAGAATGGGGACTCTACTAAACGAGGTCTTACTTACGAACTTCTAAGTTATTACTAGATTTTTCCCACCAAATTTCAGGCCCTTGTTTATAGACTTCCTCATTTTTCAACAAACCTTACAATATCTTGTTTTACAATGCAACATTTGCCATTTTTTAAAAACCCTTTCTCAACCAAATCCTATGGATCCACTAAAATAAGCCAGGGTTGTGTGGGTTAACTCATCACATGCTATATTTGCGTTCTTTAACGACCACGCTCAAAAAGAAACTCCCGGGCCAGGGAGATAGCTCAGTAGAATAAACGTTTGCCTGGCGAACGCAGGGTCCTGAGTTCAATCTCCAGTACCGCAAAAAAAAAAAAAAAAGAGAGAGAATATGAAAGAAAGAAAAGAAAAAGAAACTCCTTTGTTCCCAACCTCCCTTCTCCCCAACCCCTCAGGAGTCCCACACCCCAGGGCTCTCTCTGGCTCTTTTCCAGAAGCTTCGAGATCTCAGAGATGCACCAGTACCCAGAAACAACACCCTCCCTTTCCCTCTCTGAAATGCTCTCGGCTTAGTCCAGTCGCTGGGTCACCGCTCCTGCCCACTTCGATCGTCCCCTCGGGCCTCACGCGTTGTGGAAAAGCTCCTCCTTCCTGGAGCTGCCGGTGCCGACTCGGGGTCCGCAGACACCACACCGCCCGGTCCCGACCTCCTCAGCCCTGGTCTCCTCCGCCCTTTCGCTGAGACCGTCCTACCTCCCCATCCCCAAGAGCTCCGCTGACCCACGTCCACCGTTCTCCGTGGCCGCCATTCTTCCAGGCTCCCCAGAACCCGCCGCCACACCCCCTCCCTGCTCCCCGGGTCCCTCAATTTCTCAGCCCACTTCTCAAGCCTCCGAGGACCCCACAGTCCTAAACCCCTTCCAAACACCACTCCTCGGGCCGCAGAGACTGCCCGACGCCGTCGCGAGCTCCAGACCCCCGGAAGCGCTCTTCCGAGGCCGGGCCTGTCTTCCGCCCCGCGCCCACCCTCGGCGCCTCCTCGTGCCCGCCCTTTACCAGGGGTCAAGACCAGCGCCAGGAGTGCCAGGACCAGCGGCCGCGCGAGCCCCGCGGGAGCCGGCATCCCCGACCCGGAGAGCAGCTTCGCTGGCACAGCCCCTCTCATCCTTCCCAAGGCGGTAGCAGCCATAACGGACTTGTCCCGGAGCCTGCGCGGTTGCTAGGCTTACGTCATGACGTCAGATACTGCGCGAGGTGCCTTGGGCCTAGTCATTAACGTCCCAGCGTGATGACGTTGCAGCGCGGCGCGGGACTAAGAATGCAAATCCGGAGGAAGGAGGAGTTACGGGACGAGTCAGCGGTCTGTGCTCTGCAGTGGGCTGAGGACCCGGTGTGCAAGATGCTTCATTCAGGTCCGGTGATGGCTACTATACAGCCAGTCAGAGGAGCTGAAAACATTTTTTAAAGGAAGATCCAACCGTTAGACTCGTCATGAAAGTGAACTTCGCGCCTCCTCCCCCTAAAGGTGAAGGAGACAAGTCACTAGTGGTTTATTCTCTTGCGGGAGACACTAAGGTAAAAGCTACAACTCTTGCTGCATAGGTCCTGCTTTACCTTAGTCTTAACCATCCAGCAGTAAAGTATAAAAACGAAGTACAAGAAGTAAAGCCATGCTGTTATGTTGAGCTGCAGGGGACTCAGGTCAGCAACTTCTGACATTGCCAGTGAAGCGGAAGACCCAATACTATTATGGAGTACTGGACTCTTAGAATATTTTGCTGAGTTAACACACCTATAATATTCAAATAACGGAACTTAACAAAAAAAGAGGATACAGATGAACGTCCATTTTGTATCTGT